GCTCTCGGGAACAGACACCAGAAGCAGTCACAAAGACAGACACCACAGACACAAACATAGATTCCAGCTCAGCGGCAGACGCAGGCTCGACGGGCACCGGCTCAGACGGGCACAGGGACGGGCACCGGCTCAGGGACGGGCACCGCTCAGGACAGTCCCGCCAGACGTGAAGCAGTCTTCGCTGGACAGACGGGACGTGAGCAGTCTCTCGCTGGACAGACGGGACGTGAGCAGTCTCTCGCTGGACAGACGGGACGTGAGCAGTCTCTCGCTGGACAGACGGGACGTGAGCAGTCTCTCGCTGGACAGACGGGACGTGAGCAGTCTCTCGCTGGACAGACGGGACGTGAGCAGTCTCTCGCTGGACAGACGGGACGCGAATAGTCCTTCGCTGGGTAGATGGGACGTGAATAGTCTCTCGCTGTGCAGACGGGACATGAACGGTCTCTCGCTGGACAGACGGGACGCGAATAGTCCTTCGCTGGATAGACGGGACGTGAATGGTCTCTCGCTGTGCAGACGGGACATGAGTGGTCTCTCGCTGGACAGACGAGACATGAGCGGTCTCTCGCTGGGCAGATGGGATGCGAGCAGTCCTTCGCTGGGCAGACAGGACGTTAGCAGTCCTTCGCTGGGCAGACGGGACGTGAATTCTCTCACGCTGGGCAGATGGATTTCTTCTCCTCCGTCCATGACGGTGAGAAGCCGGATCTGAACTGCCCTCCACTGGTACAGGATCGTAAGGAGGCCAGGATGGAGAGTGGTTCCGGAGCTTACCCTTGGCTCCTCCTCTCCTGCGACCTCCACAGGTCTCCGAAATTCTGGCCAACCGCTCCGACTCCTCCCTTTGTTGAGCCATAAAAGCGAACGCTTGGAAGATGTTCATTCCTCCGGATTCCTTACCGGGCCGAGTCCTTCCATCCCCGCCGATAGGACGGAACTGGGTTGCTCCAAATGTGAAGATGACGTAGTCCGGGCAATCCAGATCATCGTCGTCCATATACATGTCATTCAGAAAAAAAAACCTTCTTGCTGCTGAGTTCAAAAATGGTCGGTTCGTTCTGTCACGTTCCAGCTTACGAAAAGGAGAACTCAAGTGCAAAACAAGGAAGGTTTATTTACAATGAAAAATGGGTACAAAAACAAAAACCCACGAGGGGGAAAACAGAATAAATGAACATGAAACAAACACTGGGTCAAGAATACAGGGACCGCCAACCAGGAACAGAGAAACATCTGACAATGACAACGAACCGACCAAGACTGCAAACATGAGGAGACTTAAAAAGGGAACAAATCAAGAGGGGAACAGGTGGAACAACTAAACACTAATCAGGTAACGAGTGGGAAGGATCAAACAATCACAGAAACACATGGCACAACATAACAACACCCATGTGCAATACAAAACAGGACCAACATGTGACACAGGCTCTGACCAGGGGTTTAGTTACCCTTTAAGTCAAGGCCCAACTAAAGCAAACACTGATCACCATCATGGTGTCTTCTAATGAAACTCAACAAGTCATCAATATCTAAACCCCTATTGATTCACAATAAGAACCTCTGTAGATGTATGACAGAAATAAAGTCAATCTAATTAGTGAAGCTTATTATCAGAGTACTCATAATAATTGGTTTCTAAAATTAAACGAATTAAGGTAAACAGTGTACTTAAATGTTATGAGTTATTTTAACTAATTGGATTTGACTTTGAGTGTGTTTGATTGAGTGTTTCACTGTTTTCTACGGTATATTACTGTTTTAATGGAAAATTGAATGATACTGTCATAATTTGGCCTTTTTTTACAGCAAGGGTTAACAGTGTACTTCAAGACCCAAGGAGTCAAATGCACTCCAGACGAACACTTTGTCTTACATGCACTTACAGACAACTGTCTCCTGAAAACAAACAAGAAAAGGTTAATGACATGTACTAAGGGTGGCCTCTTATACTTACGGTGCACCACTTATGACATCATGGGCTGGGCTGTCACCCATGTGTATTTACACGTGCTTTTAGACACCGGTCACACCGATGACATTTCCCATAGCGTCGATCCACAATGCAGTGTTGAGTTCCATTTCGATTTCAAGTTACGCAAAGCTCTGTCAGGCTCTGGCAAAGTCTATAGTCAGCACATTTTTGCCTTGGCAAAGACAGAAACTGATGGTTTGGTTAAAGTGTGCTTGTTAAAAACCCCAAAGGAATGGCAATTAAACAATACTGGTGTATGGAGAAAAGCTGTTTGGCTCTTGTGAAGACATCTAATGTGAGGATGCCTCAGGTCCAGAGTTTGAGGACAAGAGTTTCCAAAAATGTATGTTTATGAACAATAGGGTACAGTAGATGATGAACAGTTTTGCCCATTGCAGTCTTGCATAAAGGCTTGAGTGGATGTTGTAGTGTGCTGCTTGCCAGTGTGTGTATTTGTTAACTTTTCCATGGAGTCATCACTAAGAGCACCACGTTTTAAGAGCAGGTCTGGACATGCATCAGTCGTTTCCAAAGCCTGAGTAACCACGTGTCATTAATTCCCAGAGGGAAGAGAGGAAAGGAGAAAGTAAAAAAAAAATCAACAGCAAAAGAAAACAGAGGATAATAGATTGATTAAAACATTAGACATTTATTAGGGAAGTTTATTAGGGAAGAACATGTTGAGCTATGTATTTTTTCTCACAACTGAATTTATTATGTTTATGTATAAAAAAATCATTATAAATATTTGTAAAATACAATTGTTTGTAAAGAATTTGCTGTAGGACTGGAGCTGTAACTCCATTACTCTGGCCAATACTTGACCCTAATTTGTGAACCCAATTTATGAAGATTTCTCAACTACTTTAAAGTTTTTGTAATTACACAGACAAAAAAAAAGTTGAAACAAAATGTGTTCAAACACTCTATAATCTCCCCATTATCTTCTGGGAAGGATAACCAATAGATAAAGACATGTTTTTTGTTATTGTTGTGGACTGTTGACATGAGGGATGTGTATTCAATTTAGCATAATATCACAGTTATATGATATGAGAATAGTAAGGCCTGTTGTTAGGGAGAACATGTTATTTAAGGAAAATATAATTTTATTTTTAAAATGACACAATTTTTTTTCAAAGCTAGTCTGTGGGGTAAAACGCTTCCCACTATCAGTAGTTACAACAGCCTGAACATCACATTTTTTGTTTCACCATCAAATGTGAATATGTTATCGGTTGAATAAAAAAAAATCTGGACTTTCATTTTTGTTAAAAATCTAATAACATGAAAACTTTACATTTTTGTCAATGTTACTAAAAAGTAGTATACATTCTATAAGTTTAGAATTTATACTAGTTTTAAGTAACAACAGTTCCCACACTTTATCACTAATATTTATTATGGGAATGACAATAATGAGAATTTATGAGAAAAATCTGTCTTTTCATTAAGATTTTGTGGACTGGATTGAGAACCTTTTTTATTGAAACAATTAATGGGGCACAATGGCACAAAATAAGTGCAAAAAAGTAAAAGTATATAATAAACACTGCATGAATGTGACATATTTGTCAAATGACACCTATATCGTTTTAAAACACAATATACATGTTAAATGGCAGTATGTACATGTTGAAAGATGTTGCAAATAGCCATACTCCAATGAAGGGTGCTTTGAGTTGAATTTAACCTAACACACAGTACACAGTTCTCACCACTCAAAATCATGGAGCTTTATAAATATACACACTAATGCTTCTCATAAAGATGTCAGCACAAGGAAACAACTGAAGACACACACACACATACAGTACAGTCACAATCATTTTTTTTTTTTTACGAACTCAAAATTCCTCATTAACACTAATACATCATACACACTTGCACATGGGTGAAATTTCACCTCAAAACCAGAAGATTATTTTGAAAGAAAATTAAGCCTGTCTGTACGACAAACTTATTTGTATTATGACATTATTTTCATGACAAGTACATTATTTTACTGTAATAAAAATACTTAACTTGTTTACATTTATTGATTTTATGTATTAATAAATCATTTTATGTATTTGTTGTACTGTCTTTACTGTAAACAATAATAACTGAATTGACTAGATGCATTACAGTGTCTAAAATGACATATATTAAAATATATATATATATTATATCACATGATGCAAATTCATGGTCATAAAATGAAGATTCACATTTGTGAGAAATAATATATATATATATATATATATATATATATATTATTTTAATTTATTTTTTATTTTCTTTAAATGTGACATATTTTGTTGAGATTGATCAACACATTCATTTTGCAAAGCTGTAAAAGACATTCTCCTGTGACACCTGATAGTGTGCAATATGTAGTTGGGGAGCACATGAGAGCTTTGAAATGTTTACCATTCAGTAGTGCTCTTAGTGTTTCTCTTGCTTTCAAAAGCTGAGACCTCACCTGGTCTACACTGATCTTATTTACAGGAACCTGTTCTGGTGAGATCCTGAGGGTGTAAGAGCACAGTTGTGCACAACAGTAAGACCCATCCTGTACATTAAAAGTAGGGCTGTGCAAAAGTTAATTGCGATTAATCGCATCCAAAATAAAAGTCTGTGTTTACATAATATATTTGTGTGTGCTGTATATAATTATTTTGTATAAATACCTATGCATGCATGTATATATTTAAGAATTATTTGCTCCTAAATTCTGTATATATTTATAAATAGGCCTACATAATCTATATTATATAAATATAAATATTTTATATATGAATAACACATTTTCTTAAATATATACATGCATGTGTGTGTATTTATATATACAACATAATTATATACAGCACACACAAATATATTATGTAAACACAGACTTTTATTTTGGATGCGATTAATCGCAATTCATTTTTGCACAGCCCTAATTAAAAGAAAACCACCCAAATATTAAAGCATTTAAATCACACATTTTCCAATGCCAATAGCTTTCTTGACACATGCTGTACGTCATGAGCCTTCACCTCCGTTGTTTAGTGCAAACACTTCTCTTTAATGTGCATTAATTGACACATTAGATGTTCCTTTGACAACATTACCTTTATCAGTACAGCACCATTAGAAATTCTCATTGAACATTTGGCATGCAATGCTACACGGCTGCCCTCATGGTACAATCAAATTATGAACTTAACAAGCACAATAAATTAATGGGTATGAGTAATGTAAATAAACATTGAAAAAATGAAAAAGCATATATTTGGTTTAATATTGAGCTTGTTTTGTGAAATGCTTTAACGGAATGTCTTTGTGTGCTCTTGTGACATTGTAGAGGGGCATAGCTGAGAGTCTCATTTTCAAAGATATTCTTTCATTTTCCCTCCATTTTTTTGCCACTCTCATATCTCCTTTTCCCAGCCTTGTGAGTTGTCTCAGCTCCTGATTTTCCTTCCCAGTGAGACTTTATCTGTCCATCTACTGTATCTTTGTGTTTGCTTATGATCCAGAGAGAGATAGTGCCATGGAGCACTTTTTGAAGATAAAAATAATGTTATAAAGTCCTATTTTAACTGCACTTGCAGCTCCTCACCACCATGTTGGACAACTGCTCCACCTAGAAACAGAGCCAAGACAAAATTATTAATTCACATGAATGAATTTGTAAATAATCTAGCACAAAACCTTGTCAGGTGAAGTACTTCTTAAGTCCATTTTTGTTAGATAGTAGTTATACCAAATTGTTCTCACTCCAAAGAACTCACTATTTGTATTTGTAAATGGAGCACGGTGCAAAAGAGTGTGTATGCATGTAGTTGTTTTGATTGTTTGTTGTACTTAGGATTGAATGCTTTATGTGTATATGCTTTATCATGGTTGTTAAATGTAGGACTAGGTCTATTGCTTTTGGATGGGTTTGGATGAATTAGATGATCATGATGGAGAGGTTCGGCACTGCAGTGACATTGGTGCATATATCACTTGTAACTTAAGCAATATGACCTAGAAAATCTTAAATATTTAAGTATGAATAATAACTTTTCGGTGGTTCATATTAATATCAGAAGTCTAGCTAAACATTATGATCAATTAGTGTCAATGCTGTCTGCATCAGGTTGCTGTTTTTATGCAATTGCTTGCTTGCAGTGAAACCTGGTTAAATGATAGGTCATACTGTGATCATTTTAACCTTAAGGGCTATACATTTTATTATAAGAACAGATTAGGTAGAATGGGTGGAGGTGTGTGTCTTTATGTTAAATCAAGATTTCAGGCCAATGTCTGTGACAATTTGGGCTTTGAAGATGACCAAACAGATTCATTGTTTCTCGACATAAGTATTAATGCAACCAGTAATCTCATCGTTGGCATAGTGTATCGCCCCCCTGATGTGAACCCAACTACTTTTATTAGTAAATTGGAGGAAACGTCTCGGGTTATGACTATAACCCTTGTTCCCTGAGAAGGGAACGAGACACTGCGTCGATAAAATCGACTCTTTGGGGACGCTCCCTAAGCGTGCGCCTCTGAAGTATGAATGAAACTAATCCAATCCTGATTGGTGTTGCGTCGTGACGTAACATGTGACGGCATACCCGGAAGTATAAAAGTGACGCTGTCACAACACACACTAGCCTCGCGATGAAGCAAGACGCTCAAGGGTCTGAAAAGGGGGCGTGGCAACACGACGCAGTGTCTCGTTCCCTTCTCAGGGAACAAGGGTTATAGTCATAACCCGAGACGTTCCCTATCGAGGGAACTCAACACTGCGTCGATAAAATCGACTCTTTGGGGAACGAGTACCCACTAGGCCACGCACCGAACAGACCCGCCCCAGAGTGAAACTGATTAGGCACTCAGCAAGGGCCGAGTACGTGTGCACCGGGCGTACTGGGAAGGCTGAGACTGTAAAACCTGATGAAAGTATGCGGGGTAGCCCAGCCGGCTGCCTCACAAATCTCCTGCAGAGGTACTCCCGACAGAAGGGCCCTAGAGGAAGCCATGCCTCTAGTCGAGTGAGCCCTTAAGGCCAAAGGTGAAGGAACCCCACGCACCTTGTAAGCCTCAGTAATAGCCTGGACAATCCAGTTACTTATAGTTTGTTTGGTCGCCGGGAGCCCCCTCTTAGGTGACCCAAAGCATACTAACAACTGGTCAGATCTTCTCCAAGAAGCAGACTTTTCCAAGTATACACTCAAAGCTCTGACGGGGCAGAGCAAGTGAAGCCTCTCTTCTCCCGCCGACACATGAGGTGGAGGATGGAATGCCTGAAGGACTACAGAGCGAGCCGTACTCGAAGGAACTTTAGGCACGTAGCCCGGACTCGGGTGCAAAAAGGCCTTTACTTTGCCAGGGGCAAACTCCAAGCAAGCTGGCGTTACCGCCAGGGCCTGGAGATCTCCCACCCTCTTAAGAGAGGTAATCGCTAAGAGAAAGACCATTTTCAACGTTAAGTCCTTAGGCGAAGCCGACTCTAAAGGTTCGAAGGGAGCGAGGGACAACCCTTCCAGAACTATTGCCAGATCCCAGGCAGGCACCCTGGACCTGATCGCCGGCCTCATCCTCCAAGCACCACGGAGAAACCTAATGACCAACTGGTGCCTCCCCAGAGGTCCACCATCTACTGGCGCGTGGAAAGCCGAAACGGCAGCCACGTACACCTTAAGAGTGGACGGGGAGAGACCCGCAGAGAAACGATCCTGAAGGAATTCCAGAACTGAAGCCACTGGGCAGTTTACTGGATCCAACCTTCGTTCTCCACACCAAGTGTGAAACACCTTCCACTTGAGGCCATATAATCTCCTGGTAGATGGGGCCCTAGAGCTAAGTATGGTTTCAACCACCTCAGCTGATAAGCCAGCATTTAGGTACTGAACCCCCTCAGAGGCCAGACCCACAGCTTCCACAACTCTGGGCGAGGGTGGAAGATTGTGCCCTCCGCCTGAGACAATAGATCCCTCCTCAGAGGAATCGGCCATGGCGGAGCTATGAGGAGTGATATTATATCCGAGAACCATACTCGTGTCGGCCATCTCGGGGCAACCAGAAGTAGACTGATGCCCTCTTGACGGACCCTCTCCAGGACCCCTGGGAGCAGAGCGATCGGGGGGAAAGCATACAGGCGAAGCCTCGGCCAAGCCTGTACCATGGCATCCAACCCCAGTGGGGCTGGATGTGAGAGGGAGAACCAAAGTGGACAGTGGGACGTCTCTCGAGACGCAAACAGATCCACTTCCATCGGTCCGAACCTCTCCCATATCGACTTCACCACATCCGGATGAAGTCTCCATTCCCCGGGCCTCAGCCCCTGCCTCGACAGGATGTCTGCTCCCGATTCTGAACCCCTGGGATATACATTGCCCTTATTGACAATATCTTTCCCTGGGACCAAAGGATAATCTGATGCGCCAGTTTGCACAGAGGGCGCGATCTGAGTCCCCCCTGTCGGTTCAGATAGGCCACCACTGACGTATTGTCTGTCCGTATAAGGACGTGGCGACCCTCGATGTCTGGGAGGAAGCTCCTCAAAGCCTTGAATACCGCCATCATCTCCAGGCAATTTATATGCCAAGTGCGATGATGGTCCTGCCACAGACCCCTGGTAAAGCGGCCGTCCATGACCGCGCCCCAGCCCGTAAGGGAGGCGTCTGTCGAAACGGTTTCCCGGCGACATGACACCCCCAACACTGGCCCTTGGGATAGGAACCAAGGCTTCTTCCATATTTGCAGAGACTGAAGGCACTTGCGCGTTACTCTGATCATACGGAACGGATTTCCTTTGGGTGAGAACCCCTTGGTCTTCAACCACCACTGGAGGGGCCTCATGTGAAGGAGGCCCAGAGGAATAATGTTGGATGCCGCTGCCATGAGGCCCAGCATCCTTTGAAAGTGTTTCACAGTGACGGCCTGACCTAGCCTCACCCTGGACACCATCGCCAGAATTGACTCGATACGTGCGGGAGACATACGTGCCTGCATTGTAATCGAGTTCCACACGACTCCCAAAAAGGTCGTGCCCTGGGACGGTTCTAGCACACTCTTCTTCAAATTGAGTCTTAACCCCAATTTTTGAATATGGCCAAGAACGACATCTCGATGCCGAACTGCCATCTCCCGAGACTGGGCCAAAATAAGCCAGTCGTCGAGATAATTCAATACGCGAATCCCCTGAAGTCTCAGTGGAGCAAGGGCCACGTCCATACACTTGGTAAATGTGCGGGGAGAGAGTGCTAGGCCGAACGGAAGAACCCGATATTGGTATGCTTCGCCCCCGAAAGCGAACCTCAGGTATCTCCTGTGACAAGGAAGGATGGAGATGTGAAAATAGGCGTCCTTCAGATCTATCGTGACAAACCAGTCCTCGGATCTGATTTGACTCACGATTGTTGGAATGGTCAACATTCTGAATTTGAACCTTCTCAGAGACCGGTTCAACACCCTGAGATCCAAAATTGGCCTTAACCCCCCATCCTTCTTTGGAACTATAAAGTACCGGCTGTAAAACCCGGACTCCCTGTCTACCGGAAGAACACGTTCTATGGCTCCTTTCGACAGCAGAGTCTGTACTTCTTGTTCCAACACCTGAGCCTGCTCTGGGACCACCGCAGTGAGCACCACCCCAGAGAACTTGGGGGGGCGGTGCGCGAACTGCAGTCTGTACCCAACTCGTATTATCTGCAGGACCCATGGAGATATGTTGGGAAGATGATACCATCCCTCTACAAAATCTGCTAAGGGTACCAGCCTCTCGAGGCTGGCCTCTGGTGTCTTTTCGCTGGAAATTGATGCGGCCCGAAGCGCTGTTAACGGCGGACCTGCATCTTTTCCTAGAGGGCCCCGTTGTGAGAACAACCTCGGTTGTCTCACTGCGGAGGGGGCAGCCCTCTGAAGTCCTGCCTTGGCTAGGACCTCTTTTCCGAAGTCCTCTTAGCCTGAATGACGTCCCTCAGGTCGCCCCTCTGGCTGGAGGACTTCGGTTTTTGGGAGCGTTTCCTCTGTTGCCAAGACCCCGGAGGGGGGGCTCTAGAGGAAACGCTCTCCTTCTGCTCTGCCCTGTGGGAGGAGCTGGCTGATGGCTGGGGCTGATTGCTTTGCCCCCCCCTACTAGATTTGGCCTTCGCTTTCCGGGGGAGGTACTGCTGGAACGCCGCAGATTGTTTTCTCGACTCCTGAAACCTGTCGACAACCGAATTAACGGCGTCGCCGAACAGGCCAGAAGCCGAAAGCGGCGCATCCAGCAGGAAGGACCTATCCTTTTCTTTAATTCCGGATAAGTTCAGCCACAGATGCCTCTCCGTGGCCACCATGGCCGCCATAGAGCGGCCAATAGCGCTGGCCGCTTCCCTAGTGGCCCGGAGAGACAAATCTGCGGCCTTCCTCAACTCCGCGACATCTTCAGGAGTAGGCCCCTCCCCCTCATCCAAATCTTTCAGGAGGTCGGCCTGGTATGCCTGCAAAATCGCCATTGAGTGCAGACACGAACCAGCCCGACCCGCCGCCATGTAAGCCCTGCCCACCAATGCAGATGTCTCTCTGCAGGGCTTACTAGGCAACACCGGGGTCTTTAGGGAAGACGCCGATTCGGGAGAGAGATAGCTCGCTAAAGCCTCCTCCACC